GGAACTCCTGGGGATAGACAGCACATCACAATGCTGCATTATGTTGGAAGTTGGCCTTTTTGGATACAAGAGAATTTGGAGGAAGCTTGAGATGCTTTTCATTCCTTTGGGATGGGGAAACCTTAACCTGATATTTAAGCTGTTTTTGCATCTGGTGTAAAAGAAATATATCTGAAGTCTTACCTCTAACTTCAGTGAAAATTGACATTTTAACCTGTAAGGCAAACATGAAAGAACATCTTTTTAAACACAGGTAGAGGGGTTCAAGTATTAAATCAGTAGCATTAAATATTGAGATGTACAGTTTTTTCGTAACAGTCTGGGACTGATGAAACTAAACACCCTTCACACATGTACTTTTATAGAAAAGTTGACTGTCAATCTAGCAATTTGATGCAAGGATATATAGATTTTTTGGTAAATCCTTATGTTGATGTAATAGAAATGGAAATACAAACCTTTTGTATGCTTTTCAAAAATTTTACAACTTTGTAGTTTCATAAAACTTAGAACAATTTTTTTTTTCCTCTTCCAGTTTTTTTTCTACTTTGTAGATTTACATCAAGAGTCTAGTTTAATCACATCTTGAATGAGGTAGCTCTTACCTTTTCTCTTTGGCTAAAGAGGGACTTGAAACACAAGAGTTTTCTTGAGACCTTTAATAGAAATACGCAAACTAGAGGAAACATGTTGAAGTAAGATATACTCCTTCACTGAATGGTTTAGCTTGCTAGCAGGTGTTTAGTCACAGTAGTGTATGTAGGTGGCTATCATTAAGAAAGATATTTGGCATTATTAAGTTGAATGGTTTGGAATTTTAGGTTCTGAGTTTCTTTATAATTGAAGAAGAATGAGATGTGATGGGTGCTGGTAGTTGGAGCACAAGTTAATACCTAGTGTCTTCCAGTTTTTGATGTATGTGTTTTTGAGCTTCCCCAGAAAGTTTAAATTTCCGATTCTATGCTGAATTCTACAGATACTAATTGGCAACAAATTAATTTTAATTTTACATGCTTCTGATCATGTATTAGGTAAACAAGTTGATCACAGGAAAAAAGCTCTGATTATAGAAGAGGAAGTGACTTTTTACATAATCTTTTAGAGAAACTGTGAACTATGACTGCCTTTTAAAGTCTGTGCAGATAATTGCGCAGATGAGAGGGCAGAATTTGACAACATGAAGATTCCTACAGTGGGAACTCTTCTACTACATGACTTGAAACAAATGTGTTTTGTTCTGTCTACTACAGATCTTCCAAAAGTGAGTTTTCTTCAAACTACTTTTGAATGAAGAGACTTCTGTAAAAGATGTTCTCAGGTCTAATGGCAATGATGTTCTCCAGTGTGGCCAATCAGTGTATTTATGGCTAATCACAAAATGAAACTGATCTTTACAGGTGGAGAAAATGGATAAAGGATTTTTTTTTCTTCTACTAGTTAAGTGTTTGTATTCACTCTAAACAAGAATTCAGAGGAAATTGATTTGACCAGACCATTCAGTTCTAGCAAAATATGATACTGATGGAGCTTTTTGAATAAGCTATCACTGTTTGTGTACATTTCACCTTTTAATTGTGCTGCAGATTCAGTTATTTACACTTATCAGGGTTGCAGACCAGAAGGGGAAGAAATCAAAATAGCCAAATACTCTTTCAAAACTGTGTAAGTTCAGGAACTATCACAATAAAGCTCTTAATGTCTAAAATAATCTGCAAAACCAGTCTAAAGGTAAAGATGTAAAAGACTAATCTTTCTTTAGAAAGTTGGCTGCACAGAGACTAGAGTGGTTTAGTTATTCTTTATCCATCTGCAACCATTTAAGGAAGTTTTATGTGCCTCTGCTGTCGAGTACACTAGTCAATATGCTGTTAAGAGGAAAAAAAAAAACCAAAAACAACCCACCAACGCCATTAACACTAATTTATGACTTCCTAGGACTTTACCACTGTGTTAGATCTGAGATTCAAGTATTGAAAGTGTCCTTGAATACCTCCATAGACAAATTTATGGCAGAAACCCCGTCCCCTACTTACAGACATTCATATGCTGTAATGTTTTAATGGAGACCGATTAGTCTGATCAAGGTACGTACCTCTTAAGATGCCTGTCATTCCTTATTATGAATGCTGAGACTAAAAGGCAATGTTTTTAGGCCCCAGAGACCCCAAGTATGATCTGGTTTAGGGTTTAGTAAGAGATTTCACAGCCAAATTCCTAACTTAGCAAGATGGAAACCTGTCCTACTCATGAGTGGCCTCTACTGGTTTTGTCTGTGTTTAATTGCACTTCTGTTGAAGCATTTACTGGTGAATGCTTGATTTAAATAACTAGGATTATTCAGAGATCTATAATAGATAAACAGTAAGATGCTACCTTTTTTATTAAAGAATTGTAGAATCCATTTTAAGGATCCTTTATTACAAAGGATTGCAGTACAGACAATTTACCTGGTAGTCAGTATACCCTGACAGGACTTATTGGTTTAACACTGATTTAATCTGCCTGGACTGGCAGTGAACTCTGCACCTCTTCTACCTGCTGAATCAAATCCTTGCTTTTTTCATTTAGTGCCAGTCCACATTATGTTCTGCTAAACTAGACCTGTCATTCTTTGCCTTTTTTTTTTTAAAAAAAAAAGTGGTGTTTATACCTTATATAATAAAAATTAAAAACATAATAGATAGATGAAGCTGTCCTGTGCCTTATTTCAAGTGTTTCATGTGCTTAGCCTCTTCTCACTGACTGCACAGTTTGTTTTAAATAATGGTTTCTACGCCTTCATGCTTTACATAAAACACGGAGACTTACATATGTAGCGGTTTCTAGTACAGATTGCTTGGAGCTACCAAATAACTTTTTTCAGTTAGGAAAAGGTCAGTGATGCATCTTACCCAGAAGAACTCTATTATGTGTCTGCCAGCTGCTATCATATCCAACAGACCTGCAATAGAAATGTTTGTCCTCTTCCAGCACTGAACCTGCTACTTAGTTCAGGACTATTCCTTCTAGTTAAAGCCATACTACTATCCCAATTCTGTACAGTATTTTAAAGTACAGACTGTTAAATGCTAAATGTATTGGTGATAAACCCCCATCCTCTAAACCACCGTTTAGACATTGCTTGGACAAATTTCTCCTTTTTTCTTTTTTTTTTAACCCATGACACAGTTGGTGGCAAGTCAGGGAAATTGTTCTCCCATCCATCAGTCATTTCGTACAGTACTGCAATTCCTTAGATCTTTATTAAATGCAAGAGAAACTGTATGAGATTACATTGTGCATAGGCAAAAGAATTTACAATAGCGCTGTGCTGCAAAGATTTATTTTTTTCTTCAAGTAATTTAAGGCATAAACCTAAGGCTGCAAACTGAAGCAGCAGACTATCCCCTATCCTCCCACCTCCCATCACGTCTCCACTCCAGCTTTCACAAGGTATGCTGCCCATTAGTGACTCAAGTGTTGCTTACACTCTTAAATTTATTAAAAAACAAAACAGCTTAGAACAGATTAACAACATAATGCTGTATTTGCTATACTATAGAAAGTCAAGTTAAGTATCAAATTCTAGTACTCATACAGTATTTCCACAGTAATGAATCCATTCTGTACTTCCAGGTAGTTTATTACTGAACTCTTTTTCTTCAGATTGAGATTGGAAACATTATACCCATGCAACAGCCCTGCAGTAATGCTGTAGGCTAACCTTAAATGCCCATGAATAAATTCACCACCTGCTTGCTTACTGCATTCACGGGAACAACAGCAGCATATCCATACCCTACATAAGATGCAAGTTTTGCCCTAGGACTTCTCAACTAACACTTACACCTGCTGGAATATTCCAGGCTTATGCATGAGGACCCTGATGACAGACCCAGATCAAAGTTTTATTTAAAATCATTACCTCTTCCTATCCTTAATTTGGTTTTGTAGGTTTGAGTTTTTTGACAGTTATTCAGCTTTTCCTATGACTTTAAAAAACCCCAACACTAGATAGTAGTGGTTAGCATTACAGACATGAGAAGTGAAATGGTACTACAAACCTAAGCTATTATAAAAGAGACACTGATGTCTCAATAGCACCAAAGCATCTCTTCCTTTCAGCACTCTTACAGTGCAGTCCCAGGTTTAGGTCTGAGATCTAAACCAATTTAATCCCTCCTCCTGCAAGATTTCTGCCAATTTATCAGTTGCAGTTGAAAGATCTTATTGTTTGAAGGAGGTAAAAGAACAGTTTTAAGAAACTTTATCCGAGACCAAGTTCATAGAAGCTACATTAACATCCTGTAATATTTAATCAGAACAACCTAGCACCGCAACATGAGACAATTGATAACCAGCACCTACTTTTACAGATGCTTATTCTGAACGGGCTTTTCAGACTGTATTTTTGCTAACAGTGAAGAATACTAAAACCAGATGTTACTTTTGTGGCCTGCTAAAGAAAAACTTCACTGTAGCTCTTTAATTAAGCCCTGCTTCTTAATTTGTACAGGATTGAGCCATCTCTTAGCTGCTTTTGTGTAGATATCCCTTCTCCTATTTACAGTTTTCAGATTTGGTGAATTCAGACTCAGTCTTCTGTCCTTCTCAAACAGTGGGTAGCTTCTTATCTTACTGTATATCTTAATTAAGGGTATGAATAGGTTTAATACCATCATTCGTTTTGAGTTACGCAAACTCAAACTCTCTAATAAGCTTTATTAAGATATCTAGCACCTCTACAAGCCATTTCAGGAGTTGTAGAGCTGGCAGAGTTAACCAAAAGCACCATTAGAACACCTTAGAGCAACAAAAGCTGCATCAGAACCTGCAACAGTAGCAGTTTACAATTATTTCATAGTATTCTTTAAAAAAGATCCCCTGTAAAGACTTAAAAGAAAAATTCTACAATTGCTTGCAGATCATCAGATTTCTAAAGGCTTTTAGTAAAAAAATACTGTAAACATTTATGAAACTACATTAAGGCATAAGACCAAGTAAGAATGCTTTTCACAATAACAGTACTGTGTTTAAAGGTGCTCCAGCATTCTGCTTCTTAAGGAGCTCCACTATACACAGCATGTCCATTGCATCCAGTGCACTGTACATGATCATAAGCAACTGGGATTTCTCAGTGCCAACCTGCACGTGATGCCCCAAATCTCATGGGTTTTTTTACTGCCAACAGTTGGCCTCGCAATAGTTGTAAAATGTGAACAATTGATCTTTATGTCAGGAAGTGTTTCCTTGAGGAGCTGTAAGGAGCTATCAGTCACTATTCCAAACACCTGAAGAGTCTTTAATGTTGGAATTTCACCAAGTTTTCTAGAAAGAGAAAAAGACGAAATTAATTATGAACCTGATTTTTTTTTCTCCAGTCTGTACCCAAACTAGATAACTGCATTTCTACTATTTTTTTTAGAAGTGAGGTAACTACTTCAGCTAAATTCCTCCACCTAATTTTTAAAAGCACATATTTAATTGCAACTAGTTCTCTCTAATGGTAAAAACAGCTGAATATCTTCCTTCTTGCTGTTCTCTCTCTCACACAGAGTAAAACCAAACGGGTTCCTCCCCGTTTATTTCCCTGGACTTAAATTTAGAACAAGTGGAAGGAATTGCCCCAGATGAAGTTTGAGGATGTGGCTTGGTGGACACAAGCTCCTAGGTACTATCAGTCTCCAATTTGTTACGACATTTTGGTGAGTAGCCAGCCCTGGCTTCCTGACTGCTTCACATTTGCCCAGTCATCATGTAACCTGTGTATCTATAAGCAAGTATTGGACAAAAATCAAGAGGCAGAGACACACAAGCTATCATCATGACAGCACACACCACTACAGAAAAGGTTCTTCAGATTCCCATTTTGACAGTCCTGTTCCTATCACAACCTTCCTGTTGTTGTTGATCGTTTCCTTAGGATGGACACCTTTCGTGGGAAGGTTAAGATGGATAGCTGCTATTCTAATAAAAGGCATAAAAAAACCCCACAAGCAAGTAACTCTAAGCTGTGTTTCAGTGGCAACCAATAACTGATAGAGGTGTACACAAAAGCAAAGCAATATAAACAGATTAGCTAGTCAGCAAGTACTCTCTGAACTTTTCCAAAGGACTATACCTGCCTTGCTGAAAGCCTAATATTGTCACCAGTGCTGGTCACTGGCAGGACTGGAACCTCCAGCTGTAGCTCACAATAATGAGTACCAGTAGTATACCATTAAGACACGATGCATGCACTGATCAGCAAGTTCAGACATCATGGAAAGATTCTCAGACACCTTTGGTTCCAGTCTGTATTCTCAAAGGTACATGCTCTAGCAGTCGGGTTATTTTGTCTGCTCCTTATTCTTAATTCCTCATGCCAGTAAGTTTTCCAAACAGTACATGCAATTCTAAACCTAAAATAAAGTTTAAACTTATCCTCTGTATGAATAGCAAACCACTTAGAGACTACTTACACTAAGGCAGCAGGTGATATCTGGTAACATCGGCTAAGACACAGATGTTTTAGAAAGATGAGTTGCTGAAAATACTGGAAGCACTCAGGCTTCAACATCACGCTGTCACTGTACATGAGAGCACATGAAATAGAAGTTTAAGTATAAATTCAGCAGTGGAGTTGGTATTTCCAAAATTCAGGCTGAGAAATTCAATGAATATCAACTTTTTTCTACCATCGAATTACTTTTTTTCTCAATATGGAAGTAACCCATTTCTAGTGTGTGTGTTGTGAGGGAGGGATTTTGATTTTCACTGAAGGGCAAGTGAAGCAGAACCTTCTCTGCAGGCAGATATTCTGCAGCAGAACTCATGCCATGAAAAGGCAATTACTTTACACACTGAGATTTCAAAATCTTTGAACTGACTAGGCCAAAACCAAAATACACTTTTTTTAACAGTTCTATGGCTAAGTAACAAATTTATATCAGAGCCAAACTAAACCCTTTCTAGGATGCTAGGCTCATAAACTGTATGCATCTAAATGCTTCCTTTCACTCCACCTATTGACTACAATCCCTTGTTAGTTAACAAATCCTGTATTCAGGATATATATAACAAATCCCATTCATGCTGAGGTAACAAATCTTCAAGACAGTTACCTGCTCCAGGTAATTAGGTCATGCCAGATAGCAAATCTTTTGTAGGTTTAGCATAGAAAGTATTTTCTGGTTGTGCAGTCCTACACAATCATGGATTATTGCTATATAATTACTGGACAGCAACAGAATTGGCAATCCCCCAAACCATAAGGATGTAAGGACCAGCTGCACAGGTCTTCTTACCTTAGATCTAAGTGGATGAGAGAAGGACATCTTTCCACCAGATTTTTAACATCTGAAAAGAGGTCACACAGAGTCAGTCCATCTTTCAGTAACAAGAGTAACATGCGTTATAGAGCCTACTCACTTCCAAATATGATCATTTATATCTTCTCTACTGGAACCCCACAACTAAAACACAACTTTTTGGTAAAAATCATAGAATGGTTTGGGTTGGAAGGGACCTCAAAGATCATCTCGTTCCAACCCCCTGCCATGGGCAGGGACACCCTCCACTAGACCATGTTGCCCAAAGCCCCATCCAGCCTGGCCTTGAAAGCTTCCAGGGAGGGGACATCCACAGCTTCTATGGGCAACCTGTTCCAGTGCCTCACCACTCTCACAGTAAAGAATTTCTTCCTAACATCTAATCTAAATCGACCCTCCTTCAGCTTGAACCCATTGCCCCTTGTCCTGTCACTACACTCCCTGATAAACAGTCCCCCACCAGCTTTCCTGTAGGCCCATTTCAGGTACTGGAAAGTTGCAATTAGATCTCCCCAGAGCCGCCTTTCCTCCAGGCTGAACAATCCCAACTCCCTCAGCCTGTCCTCACAGGAGAGGTGCTCCAGCCCTCTGATCAGCTTCGTGGCCCTCCCCTGGACTCTCTCCAACAGCTCCATGTCTCTCCTGTACAGGGGCCCCCAGAGCTGGACACAGTACTCCAGGTGGGGTCTCACCAGAGCAGAGTAGAGGGGCAGGATCCCCTCCCTCGACCCGCTGGTTACGCCGCTTGTGATGCAGCCCAGGACACGGTTGGCTTTCTGGGCTGCAAGCGCACACTGCCGGCTCATGTTGAGCTTCTCATCAATCAATACCCCCAAGTCCTTCTCCTCAGAGCTGCTTTCAATCCATTCCCCGCCCAGCCTGTAGTTGTGCTTGGGATTGCGCCGACCCACGTGCAGGACCTTGCACTTGGCCTTGTGGAACTTCATGCCGTTCGCACGGGCCCACCTCTCCAACCTGTCAAGGTCCCTCTGGATGGCATCCCTTCCCTCCAGCGGGTCAACCCCACCACACAGCTTGGTGTCATCAGCAAACTTGCTCAGGGTGCACTCGATCCCACTGTCCATGTCACCGACAAAGATGTTAAACAGATACACACTTCAGACTTACAGCCTTATAGCCTGCCTATCAAGATACCTTACAGGGACTTTTTTTAATCCTCAGCAAAACAGATCATTTTAGTCCAAAGAAGTGTCCCTACAAGTCAATTGCACCCGCAACTTAGCAAATGAATAATTCAAATGATATTGCTGTAGAAATCTACCGAGACACAATAAAGGTGAGATGCCTGAAATTCTTATATGTAGTGAAAGAAACCCCCAAATTTTCCATACATCAAATACCATTCAAGCATCTCCATTTTTACCCACAGAAAGTTCTTTCCTCATGACAGAAAGTCATGGCTTTCCTGATTTAAACTGTAAATTCTTGAGACCATCCTTTCATTGTCTGTAAATAGCACAGAATCATCCGTGGCTTAGATATCACTTAAAAAGCCACTGTTATTAGAAAGGTGCTACTCAACATGCAAGAGGATTTTCGTATTTCAGAATTCTCATGCAAAAAGTAAAGAAAATAATATCTAAATTATGATGATTAGTGACCTATTCAAATCTGATGCCATTGAAACAGAGTCAAATTAGTCACAGAAAGTGTTTTGCAAACAGAATTGCTCTGCTCATTGTCTTTAATGGTCAGGTCAACAGATGGTTCAAATTCCTGATTTCGAGGAGATTATGCAGCATGTTTGTTTATGGGTTTTGGGATGAGATAAAAAGAAGACTGGTTTATTTCTCCACAAGGGAATGCATGCCGAGGTCTGCGTGACATTTAAACAGAAAAAATAGAGGTCATAGCCAGTGTGTCACATACCTGCTTGTCAGCCAAGGCTGTATCGTCACATTTGCTCATTGAGAAAATTAATCTCTCTTTACCACCAAACCCATTTCACCCTTTATCTATGCTCTCGTCCATCTCGTTGTGCTGTCTCCCCAAATCTAGATCTCTACTGCCCTGCAACTTTACCCAACTTTCCCTCCTAGAACTATGAGCAAGTAAATAGTTAATATTGATTACTGAGATTATTTGCCTTCCAAATTAACTGGTATCTGTAGGGCATCATGTCAGGCTGAAACTCAAGTAGTTACTATGAGTGTTCTCTTTTGGAAGATGCTTTCAGCAGCCACAATAGCAGAAGCCCTAAGAAGGCTCCAAGAACAGTATCTGGCAGGCTAATTCACAGTGGAACATGGGATCCAGTGTATCCAGCTTGCAGGACGTAGTTCAGAAGTAAGGGCTATACCTTTCAACTGAAGACAAAATGAGCTTTCAGCTGACTACTTTTAAATTCAGAAGACAAATCATCTCACCCCCCTGGCTAAGCCAGAGACATGAATAAGATTCTCTGACTGCAAGAACATCAAGCTACACAGAGCACAAAATCAGTGTTAGTGCATGATTTTTCTATACACACAGCGGATGCCAACCAGAAGAAAATATAAAGCTTGCCGTTTTATCCCATATTAGGATAAAGGTTTGCCATGCTGCCATTTACCTGCTATTTGTAGATTCTGTCTGTATCCACTTAAATTTAATTGGGTTACTTTTGAAGTAACATGATTGACTGCTGCTTTGACATGGGTGGCTGTGAAGTCACACCAGGACAAGTTCAGCTCATCCAACCTACACACAAATGAACAAAGAGTTGTTTAGAAGAATGACTGAAATACAGTTTGAGTTCTGATATTATCATTACAGTTGACACTTTAAAGGCAAAAACACGTAACACACCTACTACCAACCTTCTGTATTTATGACTACAAATTTCATTATGAAAATAATTAAGCATTGGAGCAGGTTGCCCAATGAGGCTGTGGAATGTATCTTTGGAGGTTTTCAAGATCCAACCAGAGAAAGTACTCATCAACCTGGCCAGCACTGAATTTAGACCCTGCTATGGACAAGCAGTTAAAGTGACTTCCTAAGGCCAACTGGAATGATTCAATACTATCTTAGGAAGTGAAATGGCTCTCTCCAGGGACCGCCATGGGGAGACATTGTCTTTTCATCTTGTTTCTGGGTGTGTGACCTGAATCTGTTACTACTGAACAGATATTAAGATTGACAGTGAAAACGGCTATCCATTATTATCATTGGTCAGATGACCAATTAATACTAATTAGGATAAAATACTTCATAGTTTTATATAAGCACTGGCCACACTGTGACCTTAACTCTCTTTACATGCTTGATTACCTATAGCTTATCACGATTCGGGGCTGGGACAAAGCATTTGTTTTGTGTGCAGGTGTTGTAGATGTAACCAGAGGACAAAGACACAGTGAAACACACGACTAGAGCATTTAGCTGGCAATCTCTATGTAAATGAAAAAACAGTTAAATTGCCACTAGCATTCCTAAGATCAGATCTGCCATCTGGTATTCACTGTGCGCTGTACAGACTGCCATACTCTAAAGAGCTCATGACCCAAGTAATCAGACCAAACAACAGAAAGCATTATCTCCCCATGAGATGCAGAGAAAGATTAAAGCTTCGTCTGTCCACTAACTTGCACTTTGATTAAAAACATGCTTTTGCAGAAGCAAAGATTAAGTAGATTGTCCAGCATCTCACGGGAAGCCAGCAGAAAGATCAGAATATAAATTCCAGACTGAGTGGGGCTCAGTTCAGTAACTTCCTGCCAGCAGATGGTTTAATCAGTGGAGCTGTCAATCCGAACCCAGCGCTTCATAAAGTAGAAGGTTACTGAAGGATTATTCCATTATGGACGGAAAGGCACAATGTTTCCTGCCATTCATGCTGTAGTCTGACTGCAAAGCGATCTCTAGGACTCCACTTTTCAGCTCAAAAACACAGACTTTCACTTTGTGAGGATCACATACTGCTTTCATTAAGAAAATCAGATTTACATGATAATCAAAGGAACATAAGTGCGGTTTACTCACCAACAAGACTTCCTTTAAGGATGATTTAGGAAACTCATGAAAAACTACTGAAGTACATCTTCGCTATTAAAGAAGAAAATAGCTTGATGGAAAGAAACTATCTGACTATTCAGCTAATAACCAATTGTTAGGCATTTAGGAACAGAAACAGGCTCATAAAAAGATATTAGAGACAAGTACTATTGGAATGCCTATGGAAAAAAATGAGAAGGATCCTTTTTTCTCAGGAATAGCAGTAAGCAGGAATAGCAAAAACTATTTTTGTCTTACATAGCACAGCTGGTCAACATCAGCTCCAACGCTTCTGCAGAAAACCCTGAACACCCACAGAGATTCAGTCGCATCAAACTGGGATTCTTAGCAATGCTCCTATAGAGAAGGAGAAAGAAAAGTCTGATAAATTTAAACACCGGAATATCGCTTGCATTGCTAGGATGTGTGACTATTTAAGAGCTAAGATCCCAGGCACAGAATTATTTGTTAACGTGCAGCACTGTATCTTTAGTAAACTGACCGACCTAAGAGCCACCAATGATCTCAAATCTCTACTTGCTGCATCATGGCACAACTTGAAAAGGGATACTTGCCTATTTACCTGACATTCCTGACAAGTCTGCATATTTATAAACCACTAAAAGGAAATAATTTGTTCTCACCTTCTCCTGTTGTATCCCATTAAACACACACTATGGTTTATTAGAGATGACTATACCTTGTACAGAAGACAGAGCAATCCTCCCATTTCTGAAGTCAGCACTCTGCAAGGGGGAGGTTGTTCCAGAACAAAACACATATCCAAATAGCATCCCCCAAACGCATTTGTTTCTAAGACTACAACAGACATGCAGTTGGCAAAACCTGGAAAAACCTTTACACCCAGTATTTACATTTATACACAAGACAATAAAGTTCCATCACTGGTGCCTAATTAGTACCCAACTTTCAGATGCTTCTTATCTGGTATCAAAATACAAACTGTATCGGTTTATCTGTACTCTGTGTCTGTGTCCACCCCCCCCCACGTGAGGAAGGCATCAGAAAGCTCAAAAGTAGAAAGCAGGACATCCAGAGTCTCTCCTGTCTGACCTATGGTCCCTGGCACCTCCACAATCACCTGATGTGATTGAACAGGAGGCTGACTGCATACCCATTAGTGTCTTTCCAGTTTAACTAAACAACAGTTCATCTGCTTGACAGAATCTGTAATTTCCCAGACACTCGGAGTGAAGTTCAACAAAGAAGTAAGAAATAGTGCAGAAGCACAACAAGCATCTGCTGAGAGAGCTGCCGAGACCCTTAAAATAGAAAAGAGCCTGTATGCCAAACAAAAGTTCTCTTGGGAGCACAGAAATGAGAAAGTAAGAGTAGCTCTGCTGTACAAGCTTGGCCAATGGACATATAAACCTAAGAGAGATGAGCAGTTTCTCCATGGCTCCCCCTACTCTGGGGAATGAAAAAAAGCCACCAAGAAACAGTCTTCCAGAGGGGTGTTTCCTCCTTTATCTCATCTTTTGGAGGATACAGAGGAAAGAGGCAGCTCATATAGCCTGCCAGCTAGCTCTGCTAAGTGTCTAAACCTGCCCATTTCAAAAGACTTCCACAACAAACAACTCTCAACTGCATTCTTTTGTTAGCCTGCACAAAATGATAGCACCAAACAGAAGGTATTTACTGAATATTCCCAAAGATGACACTCACTTGATGATGTCATCAGAAAGCACTAGTCCCTCCAAGCTGAGGTTCTGCAACTTTTCACACAGACAAAGAATACTCTGGAGATCTGCAACAGACACTGTGGAGTTTGACAAATCCATGTGTTGAACTCTGAGAGGTCTAAAAAAGGAGAAAGGCGCATTACTAGAATTGCATTAAAACCTGCTCCACAAATTCCCCATGCTATAAATATACCCTCTCCTGTTTTCAGCTGAGACAGTTAATTTTCTTCATAGTAGCTGGTATGGGGCTATGGTTTGGATTTGGGCTGAAAACAGGGTTGATAACACAGAGATGTTTTTGTCACTGCTGAGCAGTGCTTACACAGAGCCAAGGCCTTTTCTGCTCCTCACACCACCCCACCAGCAAGTGGGCTGGGGGTGCACAGGGAGTTGGGAGGGGACACAGCTGGGACAGCTGACCCCAACTGACCAAAATTAAACTCCATACCATAAGACATCATGCTCAGCATATATGGGGCTTGGCAAAGAGGAAGGATAGTGGCAGGGGGTGGGGCGTGTGCAGCAGTGTTTGGAGTGATGGCGTTTGTCTTCCCAAGTCACCATTACACATGATGGAGCCCTGCTTTCCTGAAGATGGCCAAACACCTGCCTGCTGATGGGAAGTGGTAAAGGAATTCCTTGTCTTGCTTTGGTTGTGTGCACGGCTTTTGCTTTACCTATTAAACTGTCTTTATTTCAACCCACGAGTTTTTTCACTTTCACTCTTCCAATTCTCTCCCCTATCCTGCTGCAGGGGAGTGAGCGAGCTGCTGCATGGTGCTTATCTGCCAGCTGGACTTAAACCACAACAATTCCATACATTAAACTGTGCAAAGCTTGCAGAAAATAATTATACTGTTGTATTCAGCTGCACACTGGACATATGCTCACTGAGCCTCCTGCTAAGCTACCAGCCAAAACTGCAGATCTCTTATCTTCAAGGCATTTACAGGATTCATCGTAACACCTGAAAGTCTATCCTGATGGATTTAAATAATTTTTTTGAGATTCCTATATAAAAATCCTGGAGGTTCTGACAATTCTTGGTTCTACAAGGTATAAACTGCAAGTGGATGATGGTGCTTGATACTTTCAAAAATCACATTAACTCGGTTTTAAATAACTGACGGGTGAATGCAGATGCTCTTATTTCAACATATGCCTAACCACTGATCAGCTCTTCCACACCACAAATGCTGCTACTGGTAGAGACCTTAAAACCTAAAGACCTAAAAAAAAAAAAAAAAAAAAAATACACAGAGAACTGAATATTTGAGACATGGTTTCAGGTCTAGAACATGTAAAAAAAAGCCTTACTTGCTTGTTTTAAACAACGGATCCCCAATACAAGATCTTGGGCAGCGGAATACAGTAACGCCTGCAGGCAGCAACTGTCCAATCACTCCTGGTGGCAGATTTCTACCAGTGAGATCGAGACTCTGCCAGAGAGATTCATCAAACCTAAGGCACAGAATTTTCCTTGTTAGTGAGTTAGAAAGGGTCAGAACTATGAGTACAAACACAGAAAATTTTCAGTGTCACAAAGACTGAAAGGAGGGAAAGGTATTTAACCAAATTTACTAATGTTAAACTATGTGAGCCATCTTTTGTTTATATATACATATAACCCACATACAGCATATATTGAATTATACATGAATAAACAAGATGGGAACCAGATAATTTAACAGTCCATGGAAGCAAAGGTTGTCTTAGTACTAAATGATAAGTAGTAATACTTACGAAAGACGATGCCATCTCTTGCAAGTCAGGGAAACTTTTAGCAAGTCTTTTAGGGGCAAATACGCAAAGAGTGCCAAAAGCAATTCATCTGGAAGTGCATCCCAAGAAACACCTTTAGGGAATCTAGTTAAAGCTGGTTCACTTTTGTCTGCTGATCACACGCCTTGTTTGGCTCATTGTTAAAAGCACTTCTGCAGTCTCTCTAGGCTATACAGCCATCAGCCCACTACTCATTTCCCTTTCAGCTCTTCATTTTAGGAATAATTATTGCCATCTCGCCTAGGTATGACTGGCAAACACAAAACTTCCCGTAACATCAACTTAGTATACATAAAGCTACGGATAAACAGTTTCCCTGAAAAAATGACAATAATCTTTATTCACACATTCATTCTGAAAACAAGAGCAACTCAGTTGTATTCTACGGATGTCTTTTTTTTTCCCCTGCTGAAACGTCCATCTGTCCTATGCATGACAGGGTCCCATAAGGGAGCCCAAGGTGAGCTATGTTTTTCCATGGTACCCAGAGAAAAGCAGGTACTGCAAACTGCTCCTTAAAACATGCACACTAACTACCACCCCCCCAAGAACTGTCTCAAAGGGTGTGGTGTGATCTCAATTTCTCACAAGCATAGACACAGGACTCCAGAAGGTGTAGCCATTCACATAGGAGATTTCTGTGTGGTGGAGCTCAAGTGACCCAGCGCTCCATCTTATTTAGAAGCAGGGATGTCTGAGGGCATTCCCACTTATTATCTGGCGAGAGCTGTTTCTTTGTTTTGCATAGTCACTACAGACTGAAAACACATTTTGATACCATGGAAAGGAACCCAGCATCCTGTAATCCCTTCTTCAAGTGCCCCAGGTCTTCAGGTTACAGCCCTGCTCTTCCCCTGCCAGTCTCTTTCCAGTCCAGGAGCCTTACGCTGTTTGTTGCACCCTCCCAGCGCAGGGTCTCTTGCGCTGCTGACAGCTCAGCTCCAACAGGAGCAGAGAAGCTCGATGCTGCCCCTCTGGCATACCTCAGCCTCCACTGTGAGAGAGGTGGATGTGGATTCCTTTGGTCTCAAGGACCAAGTATCTTACTTCTTAGATACTTAACTTAAAAACAAAACCAAAAATAACAAAAACAAAATTCAAAAGCCCCCTGGATTTCAAAATTACATTGGGGACAGCAGCACCAATAGTCCATACTCATCTGGCAGCAACATCTGTATTTCATGAAAAGCCTGGCACGAGCACTACTGGGCTGAGATGCCACCCAAGTCCCAAGCAGCAAAAACGGACAGAGACAGGAACATGCAGCACAAGCACCTGGCACACAGACAGGGGCTGGCGGGCCTAGGCAGGAGCCAACCACCGCTCATGTGGGCCACAGTTCTGGAGTCATGCACACCACCTCTGCTTAAAGGCTTACATAAAACAGGACTTATCAGCCCAACCCTGAAAGACACTAGATCTAGAAGTGATATTCTGCTGGGAAAGAGGAAAAAAAAAAAAAAAAAAAAAAAGCAACCCCAAAGAATAAAGTGCTGATGACTTGTGATGCCCATTTTCTGTCTCTACTGAAGGGCAAACAAAACCTGGACTGGGCTGATGGTACCTGACTCTGCCTCTCGGAGCATCCGAGGCCGGCGCACAATGACAAAGTCCTTCTCCTTCTCCTTCACCTTCTGCCGTTTCTGAGGAGGACAGGGCGATGTGGACATCAGCGGTTCCTGTGGTGTGTTTTCATTGCCCAGCTTGTCCTTCTTAAGGACAGACACTCCCATGCCTGAGAGAAACTCTGAGGTCTTGCTGGAGTCCCAGGTGAAGCTGGTGGAAACGTTGCTGCTGGAGGATGGGATCTCCTGGAGGTGTTTTCTGCAGACACAGCAAACCCCACTGGTGCTGAAGGTACCGCCAGGCTGACACCAAACACACTGCACATTATCCATATCCCCACGCAGGGATAACTTGAATTAAAACAGAGGGCACTGGAAGCACAAGCAGCGGCGGCAGCAGAGGCGTACGCTCCGTCAGGCAGATTCACACCAACAGCCCTCCGAGGACTAAGCGCACCCCGCTCCCGGATGGGGCGAGCGGGGGACTGGCGAAAGCA